ATATGAACTTCAAAAGCAAGATATAAAAATATTTGTTATTCTTAATTTTGGTTTTATTTACTCTTGAAACAGAACACTTTCGGGTATTCTACGGAAGTACATCTAGTAGATACCGTACATACATATATGCAAATTTCCAGTAATACAAGTGTATACATTAATAAATATCAATTCACATTAAATATTACACATAAAGGTTGTTTTTTTAAACTCTGAGAAAATCACACCACGACGTTTACATACTAAAACTGAACTAGTAATAATAAATTGGTGATGTAATGAACGTGGTTTGTGGGGGTTTCCTACACGTACATTGGACTAAATATTTACTGGTGCACAAGTAGCACCATAACAACCTGCAACAGAATCAAAACAACTTTTAATATAAACCTCTAGTGGCTCAACGGTAAGCCTGAGAGTTTGCAATGCTAAACATAGGGTTTCGATACTCGCTGTGAAACAGCACAGATAGCTAATTATTCGTAAAACTTTGTGCTTAACGATGAAACAAATAAACGTTTCGTTTTCGTAAAAACCGCCGTGTAGTTGATATGTGATAAGAATGATTCTTTAACGCATTCACCGTTCAAATATTTTGACAAATACTTGTGTTATTAATGTTATGATTAGTTGGGGAAGTGTGCTTTTGCCCCCCCCCAGTGGCCCAGCGGTATGTCTGCGGACTTACAACGCTAGAATCTGGGTTTCGATACTCGTGTTGCGCAGAGCACAGATAGCCCTTTGTGCAGCTTTAAGCTAAACTACAAACAACTTGTAATTTTTTGTGTTGAAATTTATTTTTAAATTAACCGTAATCAACATTATGTTTTACATTTGTAACCGTTAATTTCTTTATTGTCACATCCTTATGAAAGCCCCCACCCCCACTGGCACAGCGGAATGTTTGCGGAATTACAACGCTAGAAACCGGGTTTCGATACCCGTGGTGGGCAGAGCACAGACAGTTCATTGTGTAGCTTTGTGCTTAACTTCAAACAAACATAACCTTATGAAAGTTTTTCTTTAATATGTTTTTTCAAACCCTATAGCTATAAACAGCATGCGTTTTTTGGAAGGGGGGTGGTATAGCAGGTGGTTAGGGCGCTTGAATCTCAATTTGAGGGTTGCATGTTCGCCCTTTCAGCCATGGGGGGTGTTATAATGTGACGGTCAGTCCCACTATTTGTCAGTAAAGAATAGCCCAAGAGTTGGCGGTGGTGGTGATGACTAGCTGCCTTCCCTCTTGTCTTTCATTGCTAAATTAGGGACGGCTTTTTGTTTGTTTCGGTTATTCGCACGAAATTACAGAAGAACTATCTACTCTAACTGTCTCTAATTTTGAATTGATAGACTAAATGGAAGGTAACTAGTCAACAAGACCCACCGCCACCTCTTATTTTCTACTATTGAATAGTGAAACTTGACTGCTTCTCTAATAATACAATCAGGTCTCCAAGCTCTCTGAGCAGGATTTGGGGCAATGGGGCGCTAACCATGGACTCTCAAATCCACAGGCCGATATGCAAACAAATAAGCTACATCTGGGCCTTTGTTCCCGTAGATAGCAGGGTTATCTGCGCTAACTGCGCCAATTTTGAAGTGATGGAGTAAACGGGAAAGTAGTTAGTCAGCACCAACTGCCGCCAACTTTTGGGCTACTCTTTTACCAATGAATAGTGGGATTGACTATTACTGTATAACGCCCCCACGGTTGGAAGGATGAATATGTAGTAGTAAAAGCTGGCCAAATACTGGGTCCCGGTACCCGGCCACTAAGTTTCGGACGGGGTCGGGTGTCAACCGGGACCGGGTTCTCCCCTCGTCTCCCTAAACAAACAAACAAAACAACATACACAAAAATTAGAAACAAAACAAAATTGACGTTTATTAAATTTAACCGACTAGTCACCAACAGAGCATTCCAGTTTTACTATCAACTTTCGAAATTAACTAACAAAAATGAGCTCACCAGTTTGCAAAATGCCTGTATTTTTGTAATTTGTTTAAATTGTACTTGAGGAACAATAGCATTTCGTCGTTTTCAGGTAAAAGCCTTGACCTTTCGCCTTGTGTGATAATGTTGCCAGCGGCGCTAACTGGTCGGAGGTGCGGAGAGATAACGCCTTGCTATCCTGGCCATTGCGGGAAATCGAGCTTCATTTAACTTCCAAAAGTGAGGCCAGTGAAAGTAAACGCAGAAACAGTCATGTTGACATGTTTTATAATCATTATTCCGATTAATTTCCAGCGCCCAACTTCTCAAACCCTAACCCATATTGTTCTCAAAAACCCCACCTTACCCAGATCTTAATGTGATACTTTTTAACGTTCTAGTACCTCCCAGTGGCACAGCGGTATGTCTGCGGACTTACAACGCTAGAATCCGGGTTTCGATACTCGTGGTGGGCAGAGCACAGATAGCCCGTTGTGTAACTTCGTGCTTAGTTACAAAAAAAAGTACTCTAGTGGTATCTAATGTAATTTTTTGTTAGTTTAAAAAAAAAGTGTGACAGTGTTATTCTAGACCCTCCTCAAAAGAAGTCTATTATGACTAATATTACTACTTTTATGACCGCTATTGTTTATTGAAAAAAAATAAAGAAAATAAACTAAACTTTTTCTATTTACTAGCATATTTTCTTGTTCTATCTCTACATCTGCTCATGGAGGAAGTGATATTTTCTGTAGAAATTGTAAAGGAAATTAACTCTCGTTTCGTGCTAATGTGCGTTCGACATATTTATAAAGATAATAAAATAAATGGTAGACAACAAATAAATGAATATATAGACGAGAGATTGTTGATAGATGCACATAGAAATATAGAATAAATATAAAGTGCTTTGTTTTGTTTGTTTGTCGAGTTTCTTGTAAAGCTACTCGAGGATTATCTGATAGAGTAAACGGGAAGGTAGTTAGTCAACACCACCTACCGCCAACTCTTTGGCTACTCTTTCACCAACGAATAGTGGATTGGCTATTACTGTATAACGCCCCCACCGCTGGATAGATGAATATGTTCGGTGACGGGTTTCGATCCCAGGCCATAGAGATACAGCGCATATACGACTTAATAGAAGAATCGGAAAATATAACTGCTTATAGTTAGACGTACAAGTATAGGCAATAAGATAGACAGCAGAAACATTTACTACTAAGTTGAGTTGAGTATCAGACGACAATCCCAGGGAATTTCGCCGATGTGGAGGCCGGCTGTCTGGAAGTGGGTAGT